TAAATATGAAATTTTTAAAAAATTAAAGAAATATAAGAAATTTTTAAAAAAATTATTTTTTATTTTAAATTTTTTAATAAAATTTTTCTTTACCTAAACAGGTAAAATTCAAGTACGACATAACCAGCAGTTGTTTCATTGAATAGAATTAAAGCACAGGTCTGCAAAAGTTACTAACATTGCCTTTTGCTTTAGTTTCTTGTCCTCCTACTAATCAACATAAAGTACATTGCATTATTTCAGTAGGTCACGTTTGAAAATGCAACAAGGTAATGCAATTTCTTTTTTGAAAATTCATTATAATTCTTACAATGGTGCACATTCAAAAATAATTATTATAATAATTCTAGATCAAACATTGCTATATGTGGCACTCAATAATTTTAAAAGATAAATCAGTTAAGGCTTAAGTAAGAAGGTCTAAATTTAATTTGATTAATGATTTCATTCAAAATGTTCATAACATGCTATTTACATTTGAGATATAGTCTAGGGGAAACTTTGGAATTTGTTTTTAAAAATATTTAAGCAAACTCTAACTAATGTCACAAGAATATTGATTATGAAAATAAAATATTAATTATTTTTTCAATAATGTGCAAAACCTTAAAAGTCAAGAAAAAAAAATGAAAGGAGTATAAAAATACACACTTTCATTATTTATAATGTATTACTAACTTAATTTTTAATAAAAACTTTGAATCTTGCTGACTATTATCTTAACAGTACGTATTGGTTAAAAAGTTAATAAATAATAAATCTTAATCAAAATTACGTATATTCATTAAAAGTTATAAATATAAATGCCTTTCTAAAATTTAATTCCTTAACAAAAACTCTTTAAGACATTAAATTAACATTTTCTATAAAAAAATTGTTAATTTTTTTTCAATTAACACCTTTAAAACATTCATCAGTGGGACCAAAAATTTATAAGAGTGTTTGTTCTCCCTTCTTAAAATTGTCCCTGGATCTGGTGCCCACCTCATTCTGTGTCTCAAGAACTTAGCAATTTTCATACAACATCAGTGTAGGAAGAAAGTAATTAGAGCATTGATGGTGATTAGAGAACATTGATGGTGATTAGAGTGATATCAAAGAGGCTAAGCCTACCTCGTTATAGGTAGGTCCAACCTGCATTTATACAAGTTGGAAAATAAAACACACTTTTGCCTCTGATATGTAATGTCACATTTTTCTTCTTTTTTATTATTAATTTTAACAATTTTGTTAAACGTAAATTTTAAGACTAAGTTTTTAAACATTTTCTAAAAAAAAAAAATTATTATATTTTTGTTCTAAATAAAAGATTAGGAAGTATTTTTAAACTAAAATAACTCAAGACTTTTGCACATGATACACTTTTTATCTCCAAAGTCATATTTTATAATAAATTCTTAATTGTACTTTTAGTTGTCATCATATTTTAACCGTTATATGATACTGATTGTCTTAATTTTAATTACTAGTATTTAATTAATTTCTTTAAATTTTAAATATTTAAATTAAATTTTTTATTTTAAAATTTTATTCAATAATTAAAAATATAATAATCATACTACATATAATAAAATAAATAAAAATAACTTATTATATTTTTTATTAATTTATATAAATAATAGTATGTCACACATTTATTATGTTTTTATTGTTTATCAGGTAAAATTTAAAAATATATTATTATTATATATATATAAAAGATTTTTTCATATTAAAAACTCTTATATTTAATCTAAATTTTTTATTTAACTTATATTTAATAAGTAATAATTTATTATTTTATTTACCGATAAATATCTTGAAAGTGTAAATCATTGTATGGATGTAATAAATAATACATGCACTATGAATGACTGAGTCAAGTTTTATTAAGCTCTTATAATTTATTACATCTATTTTTATGAGATTATATAATGATTATTAATGAGAATAAGCATTTTGTGGTATAAGATATGAGAGGATGACACTAGAAAACGTTGTTGGGGGGATTAGAAAGGAATATTTGGAAGGTGATGAAAGGGAATTAAGAAAGTTACAAATGAGTTTGAAATAATAGGGTTTAGAATGACAAATATGTGGAAGCAAACAAACAACCCTTTAGGACCTCTTTCTTCGTCTCTATGTGTCTCAGTGTCCCTTCACACATTCAGGTCAATGGGTCCACCAAAAATTTCAACATTCTTTATCTCACTATTACAACCACCGTTCATTCATTCATTCATTCATTGCCAATCATAAAATTACCTCATATTGCTATCCAACTTTCATCTATTCACCTACACAAGAGTTTAAACAAAAACACAGAGTATATCAATGCATGTTGATCCAAGTGACAAACAGCTCAGTGTTAGTAAGTGTGATTTAAAGCATTGATTTGTAACTATCATGTTCTCACAGATAAATTTTCCTTGTTAAAATCTCTTTTTCCTTTGTTAAAATCTCTTTTTGGGTTTCCTTTTGTTAACAAATGATAATTCACCTTTCGTAAATATATGATAACAAGATAATAGACCTATGGCAGCCGCTCTAGTTTTCATTTGTTTTTTTAGTTTGTTTTTTTCTTGAGATTTGTGTTACTTTGTGGCAGATGATTTGTTAATGTTAAGCTATGTATTTTATCCCTTAAAATATCAACTTTTTTTATTTAATTCTTGTATTTTTAAAGAAAAGTATATATATATTTTTAATTTTCATATAACCCTACGGTTAGTTTTGTCGTCAAAGTATCGTTTATAAATAATACAAATTATTTATTTAATTTTTAAAATATAACAATTTTTTAGAGTCCTTTTTTTTTCTGATAGAATCCTTTTATTATTTAGATTCTCATTTTTTAAATCACATAAACACTTCTGTTAGGATGACTCAAGTTTTAATAATAAAAAACATATTTTTCTTCTATTAAAATCCTCATCAACCTAAGCATATACTTTTGGTGTAAATTAAGTCATAAATTTACCTCCTTTAATTATTAGAAAAGTTCTAGTTCATGCTCTTAATTATGATATTATTTATTAACTTTTATAAAATCATTTAATAAATATATTATTATTAGTAAACTTTAGTAAAAATAGTTTGTGATCAATTAAACTATTCAATTTTGCAGAAAAGTTTTTTTCCCATTAAGTAATTGTCTCTTTTATTAAATATATATGTTTTCTTTTCTTTAACTCGTCAGACAGAAAATTATCTGTTCTCTCTTCTATATTTGTACCGCAAAAAGAACTGTCATTACTTGACAAATAAGAAATATTATGTAATTTGTATATTTGAATTAACGAGTCTCTGCCATATAAAGCTGTTTGATTATGCAAAAAAGCACAAGGAATAAGTGCTTTTATGTGACAAATTATACAAGATCAATTTCACGCCCCAAAAGTGATTATACATTGAGAAAGACTAGAACATCAAAAGCATTAGATTTGACGAGGATTTTCAACATCAGAACTTCAACCTTCATGAATGCAATTCACTTACCATAATTATTGTTTGAAGAGAAAAGTGTAACTGAAAGCTCCATCTTGAAAGATATATATATAAAAGAGTATTTAAAGTTGAAGGAGTTTGTTATTATGAGAAGTGAAAAACATTAATAATAATAATTATTAGATTAAAATAAAGAGCTTAAATTTGATATTATTATCATATTATCTATTTTTTCTTTTTTTTTTACTGTTTATAATTATTGTTTCTCGCCTCTTACTTGAAATATTATATATATATATACTCTTAATTAACAGTCAACTTTTTATTTAGTATACCAATCTACTTTAACTAAATTAAAGTTATCTAGTGTAAGAACATAGGCTAGTAAATGCGTATATCTTTGTCAATTTTAAGCATCCACGCAAAATATATGAACGGCGCATGAGAGTTTCTTGCAGTACAACTAGCGGATAAACTAGAAACCAAGATCTTTTTTATTTGTCAAAGTTACCATGTGAAATAAATATCTCTATCTTATGTAAATTAATGAAATCAAAATATTATATTAAAGGTTATATTTTTTTTTAAATTCAATTAATTCACATTGGGTCAATGGAATTATTTATTATGTGAGATACTTTAGTCAAACCCTTTATTTTTTTAAAAAAAGAAAGTCTTTTTGAACATCTAATTGAGAACATTTTTAAGTATTTTTTTATGTTGTAAAATATATTTTTTAGATATGTACATAAAATTAATATAATTATATAAAATATTACATGTAATGTTAATAACTCAAATAACAACATTATTATCTCTTTGTAATAAATGAGATAGATAAATAAATGCGTGTATATCGATACATATGTATTATTCAAAGACGTAACAACTTATTCTTTTCTTAATTTCTTATGTTAATTAATGCTAATACTAGCTAGCAAGCATCTATCTGAATTTAAAAAAGCTAGCAAATAAATGGATTAAAATATTTTTTGTGAGTAATATAATATGATTATAGTAAAGGTGTAATTAATTAATTTTATAACAAAATATGAATATTTTTATTTGATAAATGTTATATATATATATAGTTCTTTTAACATAACTATATATATTACTTAATAACGTAAGAAAATTTAAATTTCAGTCAAATTATGATCTCATGGAAAACATATACTCACTTTAGTCATTATCTGGCAATAAAAAATTGCATAGTTATTTGCTATATTATTATGCGAGAATTAAGAGAGGGGAAGAGAGTTTTTGGGGGATGATGATGATGAGATAGAGGTAGGAGAAGAAACAGTGCATGCAACCCTTCTTTGATTACTCTATTTAGTCTTCAATATATTTCAGCCCGTCGTCTTTGGAGATAGAAAAATCAAACGCACCAAAAATTGTCCCAACTTTGCAGTTTTTGCGTGTATTGACTACGCAGAAAAGCAAAGTTAATAATAGAAAAAGAAAGAAAGGAATTGTTGGAGTGTCACTTTCCTATATATACTCTCAACTCAAGTTAACCAAGAAAAATACACACTCATCTCTCTCTTTCTTTCCCATTCCCTTTATATTTTTCTTTTGTTTATATTATATGCACCACCACACCTCTCTCTCTCTCTCTTCCCCGTTAGAGTCTTTGAACCATGTCTGATTTGTGAAGCTGAGAAAGGGTCTTCTTAGCCTTCTTTCAAAGAAGATATATTTCATCCCCACTTTGCACCTCTACTAATTAATCACCTTGACTAATTAATATTCTAGTTTCTTCTTGTTTGTTTATTGCTTTGGTGTTCTCTTATACTATATTTATATATATCAAATTTCAATCAATAGTAATAGAGGAATAAATATCAACACCACACACACACACACACACCCTTGAGTCCTTCGTCTGTGTCTTGTTATTCTGGTTCTGAATTCTCCTTCTCTAAGGTTAAGTTCTTCTTTTTTTTTCTTTTTGTTCCTTTTCCTTTGAGTGTTATACTATATACTATAGCTTTGAAATCATTTCTGGGAATATAAGTAACTAAAAAATGCCCCAGAATAAGATTTTTCATGCCCCATCAACGAATCCGATTCCTGATCTTTCCCTGCACATTAGCCTCCCAAATAGTGCTCCTTCTTCAATTTGCACTGATGGAGATTCACCCTTTGATGTATGGACACAAGCAGATACTGATGGCCTCAAATCTCATAGTGATGGTTCAATCAAGGGTTGCCCTCACACCGACACAGAACTGTCCTTAGCCAACACCACAAGTACTGCTACTCATGAGGTTGAAAGCACATGGAGGAGGAGAAACTTTGTTAGAATCAATAATCATGGGTTTTCTGAGGGTGAAAACACAAGGCTCATAAATGGAATCCCTCTCTACAGTAACTTTTCTTCTTTGGAGAACAATATAGAGAGGGACCCTTCTAAGTTTTCTTCTCTCTATGCAGTTCCATACCCTTCTTGTGTCGCTAATTCAGCTCCTAATTATGATAATAATGGTATTATTGGGGGTGCAGCAGTAGAACCAATCTCAAGGTTTAATGGGATAACCATGGAGAGTCTAAGACCTCAACAGTTTCGGTACTTTGATTTTCCTCATCACCAATATCATCAGCATCAACAGCATCATCAGTTTGGGAATAATAACATTGGAGCTTCTGATTTTTCAAATGGATTTTTGAGGTCAAGAATGCTGTCGAGGCAACAAAGTAAGAGAAACATGAGGGCTCCAAGAATGCGTTGGACTAGTTCTCTTCACAATCGCTTTGTTCATGCTGTTGCGTTGCTTGGTGGCCATGAAAGTGAGAATCTCTTCTCTCCCTACTTGTGATGTGTATGTGAGAGAGGGCTCTACACATCTACTTATGTAGCTTTTTCCATGTTTTAAACTCTTGCATATGTATATTTTTTGGATTGTGTAGGGGCTACTCCTAAGTCGGTTTTGGAACTCATGGATGTCAAAGATCTAACATTAGCTCATGTCAAGAGCCATTTGCAGGTATACATGAATATGACTCACCCCTTGTTCTTACTTCTTACGCTTTTTTCTTCTCATTTAAAACAAAATCACAAACGAAAAAAATGAAAGAAAGAAAAACTATATATTTCTCTCTTTCTCTTTGTGGTTGTGTGTGTGGGCGCGTTTGTGTGTGGACTGAGTAGTGTGTAGACTTTGTCCAACGTCTATCTAAGAGGCACAAGAACCAAGGCATGCAGTGAATGAATGAATGCGAACAGTGGAAGCTGTTGTTTGATGCAGGGAACATGACAACTTCTACTTTTCATGAGAGAGAGATAAAGATAGAAAGAGAAAGTAGGAAAAGTTGCCATCATTTCTCAATAATAGAAGCAATTACTTACCTTACCAAACATCAACCTCGTGGTTATTAAACTAACCCACAAAAAGAAGCATCTGATTTGATTTTTTTAATATATTATTTTCATTTTTTTATTCTTCCTCAAAATCTTCTTCTTCATAGACAATTCAGATTTCCGATATCTATCATTGTTTAATTATTTATTTTTATAGTCATTTCTGTGTATTATATTCATCTTATTTGTCCTTTTTTGGATACTGCAGATGTATCGGACTGTTAAGAACACTGACAAGCCTGCAGCTTCTTCAGGTAATTCATATTGTAAATAATAACCTTGCCGCTTGAAATATTTTTTAACCTAATGTATTTTTTACTAATTAATTCCTTGATCTCTGCTCCAAATTCAAGTCCACTTTTTTCAATTCCTGTGAAGATTCCCTCACAACCCTTTATGACTCAGACCCTATTAATCCATCCATTAATATTGTTTAATTCATGTACATGCATAAAGTTAACATGTACAACTTGGTAAAAAAAATAATATCTGAATTCATATTTGAATGATCGTGATTTTATGTTTATTTTAATATTATTAGTTATATTTTTTTATTAAATTTATGTTTACATAATTTTTAATTTGATTTGAAATATGCACTTAATTATTTAAATTTTCGTGTATGTTTACAATATTACGAGTTATATTAATGCCTGTATATAATGAAATGCATATAACAGATGGGGATGGGGATGAGGATTTCATGTCCCTAACACTACCCCTTAATCAAAATAAGAACTTTTTACCAAATCAGAGAGGACCTCCAAATGCATCTATAGATCATGATATTGGCTATACTTCAAGCAATCTATGGGCTAATTCTTCTTCCAGGTAACCTCTTCTCTCTCTTTCTGTGATGTGTATGAATGTTTGGGCAGGCAGGCCATGGTGTCACTGTCTGCTATAACTAATTATATCTGCATGGGTGCATGGTTAGATTCATTATCTCTCTATCTATCTATCTATATATATATATATATATATATATATATATGCATGGTTGAGTTTTATATAATTAAAGTTGGAAAAATTATATATAAACCCAATGTGCACCCTTTTGTGAAACTCAAAAAGTGCTTCTTTCTGACAACTTTTGCTTTTCATTTATTTTCTCCACTTCTGCTTGCTTTCTGAAGATCAAAGTAGTGATTCCTCATTTGGCCGATGCACCTCTTTTTGATACAATGTCACATTCAGCTCCTTTAAATGTGTAGAAAGAAAATTTTTCTGGAACTAGATGAATTTTTTAGTGGTTATGTGCAAATTAATATTCAAGGAGCTAGCCTTCATTGTTCAATAATGCTTTCTCCGGATTAAAATTCTACTTCTAGAACAACATATTTTTATGCTCTATATTGACTTTATTTTTTTTACTTTCTTTGGCCATTTATCATTGCAAGTCTTAAAGGACTGGCTTTGATCTTCCTTCAATAACTAACACTATTTCACAACACTTCCTTTATCCAATTTAAGGGCTTTAACTCAATTCCTTTTTTTTTCCTTCTGCAAAATCGTACATTTGGTATTTGGCTTTATCAAAGATTGATGCTTGGTACTAGCTGGATTCTAATTCAAAATTTGAGTCAACTAATACGACAAAAGAGGCTAGGAACTTAGGTAGGAAACTCCTACTATGTGTACTAACCCCAACAAGGACATTTTTCTACCGAGAATTGGGATAGGTAGGGGAACAATTTCTAGTGGAATTGAAGGTACAAATTTACAATTCTGAAAATTACAGTCTTTGGGTGATCTAACATAGAATCTACTAAAATTAATTCAAAATTAATGCAATAAAAAATGTTGCAACTGGCACAGTCAAATATAAAACACCTACTGTTTAGTATTCGTAAAAAAAAAAAAGATGTGATTCAAAAAATAAATTATTAATATTTTGCATTCAACTCAATTAATTGTACCCTCTTTTTACTACATTGAATCCAGATTTCACTAAATTATATAGCATCTTTTTGTGGCGACAATGAAAAAGATTAGACAAGCAATTCCAGAACTGCTTTGAGACAAAGAAAATAAAGAAAACTTTATTAATTAATATTATGATTTATGACATTCAAATGAATCTGCAAATTGTGCATAGTACTAATTAACATACATAGATTGAAGAACATAAATTCATATATATTAAATTACCAGATTGATCACTTTTAGCTTCCCTAAATCATGATAATGCTGGTCCAGAATTGAGTTAGCTTCTGATCAGCTTTGACTCATATGCAAAATTTTCTCGGTCCTCACGTTTGTACTGCAAAAAAGTTCCTTCGAGTCAGAAAGACAGGTAGTGTGAGGTTGAACTTGAATGCATTGTTTCTCTTTGCTAGAGTACACAGCCCATACACGAGAAATAATGCTAGTAAAATAATTTATTTAACATTTTCTTATTAATATTCTTTTGTTGTGATGTACTAAATTGTATCAGTTATGTTATAAGCCCCTTTTTTGTTTAGTAAGATTCAGAAAAGAATTACCTAATGATAAAAATTTAATAAATTCATATAAATTTATTTTAAAAATAAAAATATGCTAGTAAGATAATACATTAAAATATGCTTAATTTACTACACATTTCATATATTTAGAAGAGAGAAAAAATAAGTGGTACACAGTTTTTATAATTTGTTCTTTTAAACATTTTTTTTGTAATTGAGTAAATTTTATTATCCACATTAAATAACTTAGGCCCTTTTCTTAAACTTGTTTGATAATAAAAATGTATTAGTAAAATAGGACATTAAAAAGTATTCTAGTATTGACCTAAAAGAAATGCTAGTAATATAGCAGCATTCTTGATGTTCAAAAATGACTTGCTATCAGTTACCGCATCTTTAAATTCACTTCCACCTGAGAGTAGGCCCATTATTACAAATTGCAACAAATATATAAAAGTAAATACTTGATTTAATATTATTAGGTAACTATAATTATAATATCAGGTAAAAGGGTTATCTTTGCATATGAAAGAAAGAAAGAAAAAAATTATTTATATAATTATATATAGATAGTTAAGATAGAAAGTTACTTAACATTGCACACAACCATTTTTATGTTTCAATTTTAATTATTTATGTTAGATTCAAAGACTTGCCTTATTCATTCACTCACTCATATAAAATAATTCTTTCATTTAATAATTTTATGTGTGTGTAAGATGTACTAAGTGAAATATTTTTTTTAAAGTAGTAAAATGACCTTTTTTATATATAAAGATGAGAAAAATAAATATAAACTATTAAAGTTTACATAAATAATCAAAATTAAAATGAATTTTTTTATGGTATTATCATAATTTTAATTAAACAACCAAAAACAAAGGGAAAGGAAACAACTAAGAGTGGACATATACAACACTACAAAACATCAGCCAACATAATATATCCCATAGTTAAACAATACAATTTTAAGTTTAATAATTTATGTATGATAATTATATGGTCAACACTTGTGTGTGTGAGTGTTTTGGAATTTTTAAGTTGGATACTCTCCATCTCATATATTATATGTCTCTTTAATTATTTTAGTTTGTCTCAAAAATTTTATCACTTTAAAAAATCAAAGAAAGTATTAACTTTTTTTCTTTTAACAATATCCACATCTATTAGTATCTCACATGAATACTTAAAATAGATTGATAACTACATTCTAATTCTTTTAATATGAGAATTTTAATTAATGAAAAAAATTCTATTGCAGTAATTCATATAATTAATAATTTAAAAAATATGTATTATTCTAATAAACAATTAGTATAAGAAGGTGGGAGCATAAAATAATGAAAGAGTCAGAATTGATTATACCTAGATTCATCAACCCTATCAGGCTACTGCAATAAGACTTTTCCTAGGTTGAGTTGAATCAGTCAATTTCGTTTGACCAAAGAAAAAAAAATAATCAATTTCTTAAATTGAAATCCAACCTAATTATAGTTTGAGTAAAACCAGATTAATTAGAATCAAACTAAATTGATATTTAGATAAAATGTAACAATTCAAATATTATATATCGTTATAGCTAAGTTATAAATTTTCAAAGTAAAAAATTTTAAAAAATTTATGCTTTATGATATGTATTTCAAAACAAATATATTGTTTTAGTGTAAAACATATACTATTTAAAATAGAGAAGTCTTTTACTTTGTCATTAATTTTTAAAATAATTTTAACTCGAAATGTAACTCAAATTCAACTCAATAAATTACAAATCAAGTTAAGTTATTGGACTTATTTCCTGAGCTCCTATACATATTGTAATAATATTTTATTTGAGATTTTTAGACATTATAACCATTCAGGAATGATCCAGAAATATCAGAAGGAAAAAAATGAGCACAATTCAATGTATACATAACTGTAGTTGTAAACAGTAAAACTGTACGGTTTATAAATATATAGAAAAGAATTAAAATGATGTTTGTGCACCTAATGAAATATTTCCTTCTATCTCACATACATGTAGAGAGAGGAATAGAAATGAATCAAGTTAGGGTGAATTTATATTAAATTAGTTTTTTTTTTAAATTCTAAGAACTAAGCATGAATTATTTTATATGTTTTTTAATATCTAGTTTGGCATTTTTAACAATATAACTTAACCTAAAATTTATTTAAAAATCTTTATAACAAGACATTAAAATGAGTCAACAAACCTACTTTAAATAAGATAATGGTCATGAACATAAATGTAAGCCAATAAACTTAAGTATCTAAATAGATTGTTAAGTATATAACTTTTAAATATTATTAAAAAATTATTATAATAATAATATTTACCATATTATTTATATTTATTTAAATAAATTGATTTGTTAAACTTAAAAGATTTTTACTGGTATATAACATTGCCTTTTATAAGAAAATAAGTTTTTAAAAAGTTCTGGTTTAATTTATTTTATAAATAGAATTATCTTGAATAATTGAGTCATTAAGATAAATAATAAATCGTATGTCCTTTACTAACCATCTTACCTATTTTTATTCCTAAATATATTGTTTCTCTATGTTACTGTATTGTAAATTAAAGTCATTAGAATAAGTTTAATTAGCATATAGAAATATTTATATAATTTATACGAAGATATAAATTCAGTTATCAGTATCACCTATAAAAGAAAAAGAAATGTTCCAACTTGATTACAATGTCTAGGCTAAGTATCGGGAAAAGTAAATAAATGATGTATGTTGAATTGATGATATCTTTTCTACTATAAAGTTTTTCTTGAAATGAAGACTACAAAGGTGTTTATTTTGGGAAATGATTTTTCATTTTTAAGAATAAGATGCTCTAGAAATAATATTTTTAGGAATGTTATTCTTAGACACTTATTACATTGATCACATTTGACGTTTTATACATTTTTTAAAAATTTATGAAAGTATAAATTTAATTCATACTAGTTTAAAATTTTTTATATTTGATCTAAACTTTTTATTTAACTTACATCTAATGATAATTAAAATAATAAATTATAATTTATTAAATATAAGTTAAATAAAAGACTCAAATTTGTAAACTTATTCCAATACAAAGACATCTGTGTCTCATATATGTATATATAACTAACGCACCTTTCCCTCCCAGTATATATGCACTACCCATAAAATACTTGAATCATACTCATCTCCTTTCATGGGTACAATTTAGTGGAAACTACACTTAAAAAAATATGCCTAGGAATAAATTTAGGTGGGAATAATTTTTCAAGTCTTAAAAACATATACATGACATTATATACCCATCTCAACATTTTTGTGAATATAAACTAATTCCTCAAACAAATTAATGCCTCCTAAGTTTATTGAAGAGTTTTCCAGGAGCAAGTTTTGAATCTATCGATGAAATAAAGAATTGTAAAACATGAACGAAAAAGAAAAAGTTTTGAATGTGTATATGTTCTTATTCCAAAAGGTCTTAGCTTAAACATTACTTGTAGCTTAAAAAAACAGTAGAAGACATAAATGTGAGGATAATTTTTCTCAAAGCACTAAAAATATCTGCTGAAACATATGCACCTTGACCTTCAGGAATAAAACTTTCGGTGTACCTTATAATATAGTTTAGTATCGTTAAACCTAATTATAAGATTGGGCTTAATTGATCAAGAATACATTATTTATAATCATTAAAGGAAAAAATGGTAACAAACATAAAGTCAAATATATAAACATTAGAAGTGTTAACTACTTTTATGTGTTGTGGAAACTAGAAAAATACCATTTTCTAACAGCATGTATACTTAAAAAATATATTTATTTTTCATTTTTTCAAAAATATAAAAGAAATAAATGATAGTTTCTTAAATAAACTAAACCAAATATACAGTACTTTAAATGATTTTCTCCCTATTTTTTATTTTCTAACACAAGATCACCTGTGCACAACTAAATAAGGGTTTGTAATATAAGGAAACATCCATATATGCTAGGATAATATACATTTCAGTATTGTTGTATTTGAATTAAAGGGGAATGACACCTTAGGGCACATTTGATTCATGAGGATATTTCCTGTTTTCTTTGATAATTACAAAATTGTTATCATATTTTTATTTTTTATAATTTGTATAAAAAATAATGAAAATAAAAAAACAAAAAAAGTGAAGTATAAAGAAACTGATGTTTATAGAATTATAAATAAAATATAATTACTAATAAAAAATACATGCATAAAATATTTCAACAAAGCAAATGCATCTTTACATTTCCATCTTAAAAAGTTAACAAAGTAAGTAGCATGCCCAATGGAAATTAAAAAAGAAAGCTGCACTTATCACAACCAGGAAATGACCTACATATCATGCTTGTTGAGGAAAAAGATTATTTAAATTATATTTTCCGGGTGTGAAATAAGTGGATAAAAAAGAAAAGTAAGAAACAAATAGAAAAACAAATATGATGAATTATAAGTAAAAGAAAAAGATTAAAAATATGTAAAAATATAATTATATCGACTTAGTATAAAAATTCATGATCGCTAATCCACCTCTATCTTACCGATATTAAATTGGAACAATTATATGAATTGCTTTTCAACTAATAAAAGCTAACAGAGACTAGCTCTTTACAAGAACAGAAAATGAAAAATAAATAAAAGATAAATATTATAATGTGTTCTGCAGGTATACTGAACCTCTAGCCCAAATTGATAATTTTCCCTCTATTCAATATTCATGGCTTCCATGTGCAACCTATGCTCCCCTCTAATATTATCATTTCACCATAGCTACCTGAGTTCAAACGTCACGTTATTTTTTGAAGCTCGACAACGTAAAATTATTCAGTTTATTTCCTCTTTTAACCTTCTTGTTCATGCATGTGCGTGTATTTTGATATATAATATGATGGGAATAGGGTGTGAACCAAACCTCATGCAATTAAGCTTAGTCAGTCACCACTAGTTCAACCCATGTGTGTTTTTATCCTTTCACTTTTTCACTGCTTTCCTTCTTGGAATAACAAAAAGGGTATTGTTCTTGAATTAATGAAGAATTTTTTTAATATATTGAAAGACACAATAATATAAATATTAAATACATTGAATATTATAATTGTATATAAATTTATATTATCAAATATTACACATTAGAAAAATCAAATGAAAATTGTTGTATGGTGGTTAATGTGTGTGTATATCACATTCATTCAAATTTGTGTTCATTGAAATGACTGGCAGTAGAGGAGCACGAATACAAGCAAATTCCCGAGATTTGGAAGAGCTTAATCATCAAGATATTGTATCATCTCAGCATGTTGGGAAGCTGTCAGAGGTTGTGACATAATCTTCACTACTGCTATATATTCATATTAGTAGCTAAGAGTATGACCTTGGTGGTATGAAAATAATTGCTTTGTGCAGGGAAGCAACTATACACAAACAAGAAGCTTCAAGGATCAAAATTTGGAGTGTCAGAATCCAAGCTTGGAGATCACCTTAGGAAGATCAAATTGGCACAACGATGAACATGCCTAATTTTATTTAGTTGGTTTACATGATTGCTTTACAAAGCCAAAAAAGAAAAGATTAATGCACAGATATATAAATAGATAGTGCTTTTGTTAAGACAAAGATGTCACTTTCCACAAATCTAAAGCATCTCTGTATATTCTTTTTGAGCCAAAGCTTGTTAGGTTGTGTTAGTCATTATATAAATGTTATAGCTTAAAAGTAAAAGTTGAAGAAAAGAAGGAATCATATGTATTATAAGGCTTTTGTTCCATCTTTTTTTATATATATTTTCTTTTTCCCTCCTTTTCCCTAGGTTCCTAAAGATTTGTCTATATATAACTTTTTTTCATTATATAAATGTTATAGCTTGAGTGATCAATGTGTGTGAAAGCTTGATAGCTGTTATCTATCATTAGTACTTTGTTCCTTGATTTTACACTTGACTTGTGCACACAAGGGATACCATCAAAGCTAAAAAGTAGTGATGGGTGTGAAAGATTTGAAGAATATATTATTGAGCTTTCTTTCATAAGTGTAAAACCACATCTTTTGGCAAATCATTTCTGAAAAAGGTTGTTTGTGCTTAAAAATTCCGGATACATCGGCTATGATTGGAAGATATCCACGTTACTTCACACTGTGATTTGCATGTTGATGTTGTGATTGTGGGTTGCATTATGCCCCACTAATGAACACCTTTTAGTTTATATGATATGCCTATTCCACTGACTTGATGCAAAAACCAGTTGTAACAGCTGTAACCTTAAGTGAAGCATATTCAAAGGCTGCAAGGAAACTATATATAAATATATATTAGAACATTTAGGTTGTTAAGGGCTTAATTAGCCCCTCCATTTCACCTTCAAGATAAATGATTTCTCATTATATCTTTGTATTTTATTATATTAACTGAGGACGAGTAGATATCTTGACAATGATAATTTGTTATTTATTATATGATCACACAAGATTAAATTTTAGAAGAACAAAACTTAAATACAATAAAAAGAACTTTTAATTCTCATTTAAAATTAGTTTTATATTGATAAAAATTCTATAATTTAATTAGATAATAACACAAAAATTACTTTAAAAAATTATAAATAAATTTTGCTAATTTTAGAAACAATTTCTCTATTTACAAGAGTAAGACTTGGTGTATCGATCTATCTCTCCAACCCCACTCAGTGAGGGCTTCGTGTATTATATATTGAAAATTGCAAACCTCTTTATTAGTGGTTGTTTCATTTTGGGGATAATATTAAAAATCATATAACATTGGCTAACTTTGGTTCAAGTGTTGAGAGAGTGAAACACTAATAATTGCATACAATGTGTCTGAATTATTTTGGCATGATGATGTAAACACACTTGGAGAAACGAAAGAGATTGATGAATTGACTATCACCATAAATTCACAATATATAATTGATATACCAATGTGGGGGCTAATGAATCATCGAAGATCACATATCAGGAGACATTCAGTAGTTTTATTTGAACACGCTTCCTCAATCTCACATTTATTTGTTAATTTCTTGATATATTTATTCATCTTTGGGACTGTAATTTTCTTCTCTCTTTTCTTATGTTTGTTGGTTTTGTTGCAATTTAGATTTGTTTAATGGACGAGATAAAAGAATAGAATAAGGCCGATAAACCTTTTTAAATAATTAATGCAAAAAATAAATAAAATTTTTATTATAAGTTAAAAATATTTTTTTAAAATTTTAGAAAATTTAAATAAAAGAGTTTATAAAAATAGATAAATGTAAATTCTTTTTAATTTATGAGAGAAGTTTTATTTATTTTTTCTTAAACAAACTTTTTTAGAAATTTATCTAAATTAAACTTAGGATAAATATATTTATTTTATTTTTATATTTATTTAACCAATAAGATATAATTCATAATTTTAGCCAATAAATTTATTTTATCCGTTTTTTTCATATATTCAAAATAGACAAAATATAAATTAATATAATACACGGATTATGTTATTCTAATATATACAAAAGAATTTATCATTCTCTTATTCATTTTTTCTTAACTTTTATATCATTTCTAATTCTATTCTAACAAAAACAAACACTATAAATATTAAGAAAAGTGAGCATACAAGGAAAAATTATTATTCATGGAATATGCGGACATTTTTTATACAACTTTATGAAATAAGTTTTGTGATCAAATAAATTTGTATTCTAATTTAATTCATTTACTCAACCAAACACATTCTTAACTATTACTGTTTCTTTAATCATTAATTTGCCAACAAAAAATAAAAATCTTATAAATATATGGTATTTCTTTGGTTTGGTTGGGTCAATTTGTCTTACACGTTTCGTGGGCCTTGAGCAATAAATGGACCTATCTGTACTCATTATGCACTGACAAAATCCTTCAAAATTTTCATGCATGTTATTATTAAGTAATACCTAAAGTCCTTCCCTTTGACTGAGTTTTTTTCTGATCAATCTAGAAGGGTCTGCCTTAAAGTTTTATATACATACAAAAAATGTAGAAAAAGTTAAATCTATAACATCATCAAGATTTTTATACAAGGTATTGTTAACTAGTGTTTTTAGGACATTAATAAAGAACTTAAAAGTGATATATTTTTATTAGAATTGCATTAAAAATTATAGAAGTATATGTATTTATTATATTTTCCAAAAAAAAACAAAAACAAAAACATATGTATGAATTTTTAAACAGTGCTATTCGAAGGATAGTGTAATGCCCCATTATGTTCATATGTGTGGAATCAATCTATTTAGTAAGAGATTTTTCGTTCACAGCTTACCTTGTGTAAATTTTTTAAGACTAGCAGTAACTATGAACTATAAGTTGAGATTAGTGTTGGATCTTTTAAACTTAAAAGCTGCCTTTTAGTCTCAAACATTGGATAAAAAAATAATGCCCTTCCTTAAAGCACTATTTAGCATTTGCCTTTTATATAAATGCTAATTAATATTGATTAAAGAATTACAAATAATTTTTTAATTAAAAATAATATTAATATATTTTTATCATTAACTTTAATGTTTTTTCTGAAATAAAATTAAAAATCTATTATTGATTACATTTATATATTTATACATGTCCTACTGAGCTTATTCTACAACGTTGTCTTATAAAACTAGTTAAGACTTCGTTTTGAATAAAGTGTACGGAAATAACTGCTTTTTTAAAAAAAAATAAAAATAAAGCCAATACATTTTTCATTGTGTTCAAAGTTGGAACTACTGGTTCTACACTAACAACTTATGAAGAAAGATCCAAACACCATAACTCTGAGATTAAAAGAAAATCCAGCATATTGAGTAGCTTTTCAATTGTTTTATTTGGATGTGAAGAGAAAACAAAAAAATTGAAAAAAAAAAATATAGAAGAAAAATGATAATTTTTCTTTGTATTGTTTGGATAGAGAGATAAAAAAAATGAAAAGAATAAATATAATCACATTAAATGTTAAATAACATTTAAAATTTAATAATATAATAAAATATAATTGGGACAAATGCATGTTTAGACATATTTTGGGACGAGAAATCAAATAAAATTTAAGTAATATGTGTAACAAGTTTCTTAATTAGGTTTACTTAAAAATTTCATTTTATTCTATAAAAATTACTCAATTTAAATTTAGTTTCTATAATATTTTTATTAGAATATAGTTTCTCTAAGTATATTGAGATATTGTTAAGTGTCAACTTGTAATTATAAAAACTAAAAATAATAATTTGTAAAAAAGTAGAAATTATATCCTAATAAAATTTATAAAAATTAAGACCAAATTGTATAAATTTTACAAAAATCATGCACTTAATTCGGCATCATCAATAAATAATCAAACAAAAAATAATATGGAGAAAAAGCTCTATGTGAAATCATTATAAAGAAATATAACATTGTTCCTTACCCAATAAAATAAATTATATTTAGAATTTAGAAAATAAAGTTGAAGTTGTCAAACTGTTCGAATAGGAGTTTCGATTATTTCACAGAATATATATATATATATATATATATATATATATATATATATATATAGTTCAATATTTTTTAGCAGAAAAAACTTATGAAGATTCCCCATCCATGCGTCGTAGTTCTGAAATAACATATTATAAACGGTTACCCGCCTAATTACTATAGAAACTGTATTCAGTAAGATATGATAAGAACTACTCTATACCCTTAAATCTTACAGATAATCAACATTAATTTTCAGTACAACTACTTAAATTTAATCATGATCATCTGAGTAACATTGAATGGATAATATATTGCAGAAACAAGTAAAGACATTAGTTATGCAAACTAAATACACAATTCATCTGTGCATTACACTAACAAACACACAAGTTCATAAACACGAGTGTAGAAAATGCTCTCAAAGCATAACAAATCAAATTCGAAATGTTGTTTTCATACTTTAAACATCAAAGGGTGAATTTATTCCACCTGAAACATCATTGAACATCTTTGGCTAGTGATTGGGACCCAAAAGTGCAAGAAGAAAAGCCCGGTAGTCGCCAGATGTTTCCGAGTGAACTTCATCGTTCAGCATTTTCTTGTATTTCTTTGAATATTCTGCTTTGATATACTGCATATCAATCTCAGTCCTTGTCACAATGACCCTTATGAGTGTGGAATCATCAGTCCCCAAACCTTTCATTGCCTTATGCAACACCTGCATGGTGACAAAATGTGAAGGTACAACTGTGTCATGATTGTAAGATATTTTATAAGGTTCCCTCGTTCATATTTGCAAAATCAATTCCCAAATATATTGGCTTGGTTTTTTGCCTCTGGAAGATATGACAAGGCATAAGGAATAGAGAAAATCACAACAAAGAAGCAATTACATGTGTATACTCCTAGTCCTAATTACTTATGTATAAGATCTACTTAGATTATATCTGTAGTTGATGTGGGATATTAATACTACCAATGACCAAAAGTTATACAAAGCCAAATGACTTAGCTAATACAACCTGCTTATTTTAAATAACCTTAGACTTTGTTTGAGAATTAGTTTTGGGGGGGAAAGGGAGGGAAGAGGAAGGTTTATTTAGTGACAACCCTTATTTGGGAGTCTCTAGATGAGAGGGGGAGGGTTTATAAACCCTCCAAAACCATCCTAAGCTCATGTTTTTTTGGTTCTCCCAATTTGGAAGATTTTTTATTCACTCTCCTCCCTCCTCCCTTTTCTTCCCTTTCCCTCCAAACTCTCAAACAAAGCCTAAGATTCCTTGCATATTGGATAGTGCAAATATAGTTTACAGAAGTTGTAAATGTTTAGGTTAATTCATAACTTTGTCATTTCACAGGATAATCTAGTTCCTCTGATTACATGCATGAAATAGATAAATAACAAGGAAAAGTAGGAAAATTAGTTGATGCAAATTACAATACTCCGGCTAAATAAGTAGATCATAGAGAAACATATCAAATGATTATATAGTCTCTCATTTTTTATTATATGGTTCATTTGTTTCTGAAAGTCATTTGGAAATGCTAAAACTTCAACTATTGTTCCTTCCTTATGAACCACAAGCATGCATGTAGAAATAGTCAAAATACTTTTTTCCAATACCCAATTTTCCAATACCCAATTACCCACCCTCGTCAATTTAAATTTTTAACAATAAGCCTAGCATGATTATCTTCCATTTGTCATCGAACAAAAAGATTGTTCCTATAGCATTGCAAGAAGCAATTACCAAAAAGTTGAAGTGAAAGTGAATACCTTTGCAAAATACTTTCCTGGATTAACCGCACATTGAACTATAGTCAGAAGTGCATGAGCAAAGCGCCCAGATGTTTCATTTTTTACTGCCTGATATTAATTCAGGTTGAATAAGCACCAGAAAATACCTCAAGAAAGAATACATTTAAAGAAATAAACTAAAAGTGGTGAATACACCTTCTTTAGCGAGTGACCATACATATCATGGTAATAAGAACTGACAGCAGCCAAATGTGCTGCACTCCGTTCACTGAATATGTGGATAAAAGTCTTTTCATCAGTTCCTAGTTTCTTCTCCCCTGCTTTGTAAAGAACCTTTGCATCCTTCTGAGCAATTTCTCTATTAACCTCAAAGCCTTCGGGGCGAGGTGTGCTTATATATGAAAGCAAGATCTGAAACAAGTATTTTACATTAAGGGGTCAATAACAGCTGCTCATTATTTTAATAACTTGAAAGGAACTCAGATGCTATCATGATATTGCTATCCTATGAGACAAAAATTTTCCATTTCTATCCTATGAGAAATGTTACAAACCAAGAAAGAAGGTACAGTGTTCCCTCAAAGAAGTATGTGCAATGTCACATACATACTTGCACATTATAATAAACCGATTAACCAGATGATTTTCCTGCCTTTGTGGATATTGTCTTCAATGAAGTAAGTAGAGAGCCTTACCTTAAGTGATCCATCAAAAAAATGGTGAGCCAGAGATGAAGGCCACAAGACTTTTGTAAATTTATTAGATATGAAAAGATGGATATGAATACCTGGCCACAATATAATAACTATTTACTATCTAGGAAGTAGATCATCAAAGAAGTACTATCCAGGAAACAAAGAATGATATACATTAGTATCACTTCATAAGATCATCACGGATGACAATGTAAAAGTTGATGTCCTATACTGAATATCTATGACTTTTACAGATAGACTACTCGATACCATGATAAATGATACACATCTGGAATCCTAAGTGAATTTTAACCCTTAACATTCTAAATCTAGAGAGAAATAAACACTCAAAAGATCTTATCTAATGTCATGCTCTATAAATGGAAGAAGTACCAAGATAGGAGAATAATTATGAATTCTTCAGCTAACAGAGAGAACCCTAAATGGGACTAACTTGTGATAGCTAAGGTGTCTTTCCTAAAAGCCACACATAATGACACAGAGAAAGTATACTTTTTTATTATCCCCTGAGGTGTTTCTTTTGATGCCATATGCTCAAGACAAACAACACATAGATTGTTAGCTTAAGATCCCCTAAGATGACTAATTCACAATAGCTCAGGTTCCTTTCATTAAAGTCACAAATAGAAACCTCACCTTTTGATGATCCCCAGGGGAAGTGTTTGTTTGAATATCATGCTCAAGATAAACACCAAACATGGAATGGTAGATCTGTTTTAGATATTGTAGCTGGGATGGAGTGCGTGAACATATTACTTCAGTAGCACTTTCAAGGGTTTTGTTATCAGCTGTTAGAGACTTCCTAATAATTGTTGCATCACGTCGTGCAGGGTCATGCATCCAGAGAAGAACTGCAGTCTGATAAACAGAAACAATGAAAGAAAAACAAACAAATGTTGGCTAACATTTAGGGGCTGTTTGGTTTCATAAAATGTTTTCTGTTTTCAGTTTTAATTACAAAATTGTTGTCTTGTTTTCATTTTGTTTCCTGTTTTCAAATATTTATACAAGAAAGACTGAAAACAACTTTTTCTTCTGTTTTCAGTGTTTTCTGTACAAATCTTTGAAAATAGAGAAGAGAATAAAAACAAGGTGGCAAATTTGTATTTGAAATTGAAAAAACAGAAAACAATTCCTCAGAGTACAGCAGTATTCGAAATTTTAAAATAACTATGATTTTGTTAATCTATACAGCGGTATATCTACATATAACAAATGAATAATGTGACATGATATCTGGAAATTTACTCCAACACATGAAATTGAGTTCATTAGTTATATTAGTAGTTTAGCACCTCTAACTTTCCTCTAAGTTCTGAAGCTAAGCGTTTGGGAAGTTCCTCAGAGTACATCGCTTTGTATTCTTGTTGGATGTAAGCACGTTGTGTAGCATCTCGATGGGCTAGAATATTAATAACAGCACTAGTATCACACCCAAAACCTGTGAAAGCACAGAATTAGAATAAAATTAAACAAAGACTTAGTCTTTGTTTGAGAGTTGGGAGGGAGAGGAAAGAAAAAGGTATGAAGGGTAAGGGAGGACAGAGCGTTAATACAAAACCTTTCAAATTAGGAGAACTTAAAAACATGGGATTAGGTGGGTTTTGGAAGGTTTATAAACCCTCCTCGTCTCATCTAAAAACTCTCAAACAAAGATAACCATTACATAAGTCTTCCTCTTCCCTCTCCTTTCTCCCAAAAACCAACTCCCAAACCAAGCCTTAGCAGCTGCGGTAGAGCAAATCTAAAGGAGTATGACTACACTCTTTGGGAGTAATCTCTATGTAAGAAGAATCATTTCTAGGTAGCAACCACAGATCATAGAACATCTATTTCCAAAATAAAGTTAGATGAAAAATAATCCATAAAAATAGAAATCTAGGCAAAGATCTAGTAACATTCATCATCAATATTGAAAAATGCTAACTAGTGCCCTAAGGGAACAAGTATAGAAATGTTTTTGTTGAAAAACATAAAAATGCACTTAAGGATATCGCTTAGCCTTTAACATAATATAACAAGTTAAGGATGCTTATAGGACTTGTCTCATGGCTGGTTTCAAGACTTCAAAGACCTTTCTGCAGTTATAGCCCAAAGTATGCAAAATGATTAAGAAAGAATGCACAAATAAACACATTGATTTAGAACAATTTCCCTAAGAAATTGACGCCACTTATGAGACATGCAAAATCATTTCAATTTTATGCTTTTATCACTTGCAGTTCATTAAATGTGTTTGTTCCTCATAATACAAGTTTAAATTAAAACACATGTTGAAATGCACTTGAAAATTAATGTCCCCCCTCTTCCTCAAATGGCAGTTTCAACCAAACAACTACCTAGTTAAGGTTCCTAAGGCAAGATTACATGCATGCAACATCATCGCCAACAATTCTAGAGAGAGAGAGAGAAAAAGGGTACCCTTGAAAGCACGGTAAAGTTGCATGGCATCATCTCTGGGAGAAGGACGAACTGGAGGTACAATCAAGGTAGCCATCTTCCTCTATGGAAATACAGAGAAGTTGTGTCTGAGAAGAGAAAATCAATGGTGTGAATTCAATGCAACAACTGTTCTTAACTTGGATTGGATTCAAGAAAGCAATTATTCGTTTTTATCCGTCCCCACAACTTGCACAAATATTTTTGACAACGTGTATATGAAAAATAAAAAATTAAAGATGTGTGCTTTTTAATAATGCAAGAAAATTTATATATAATATTCAATATCTAAATTTTGGATAATGGAACTGGCCAACTAAGCTAGTGGATCAAAATATGTGCTTTTCGTTTTTTTATCTTATGTTCTTCAAACCCAGTCAACGGCTAAAGAAATGTTCAGTATATGTGCTTTTTCAAATCTTTTATAATTTTTAGTTGACTTTCTGATTAGAAATAATTAAATTAGCAATCTGATCCTTAAATTATTATTATTATATATATATAATATCTTACAGATAAAAAATATTTATAAATATCATCTTTAATGGTACAAGAATGATTATTGTTTTTAATGAGTAAACCTTTGGATGGGTTGGGATGGCCCATCCTTTATTTAAAATCTTGTACCAATCTCTCCGACTTGAACACGTGAAACACGGGCCTTCATATTCTTATATTGTTAAATGAATTTTGTAAAATTAAAAGGATATATATATATATATATATATATATATATATATATATATATATATGATTTTTTTACATCTAATCTAAATTTTTTATTTAATTTAAATCTAACGATAATAAATTATAACCCACTAAATTTAAGTTAAATAAAAAACTTAAATTGAATGTAAAAATTTTTATATTTATATCACGTTTAAAAAAATCCTTTCTTTTAGTCTTTTTTTTTTATAAATAAAATTTCAGTTTTCTTATAATATTTACTTTCTCGGAGTTGTTTTCTTTATTTGGCATTTTAAAAAAATAAACTAGAACAAAATAACTGTATACACTTTCACTTTATATACTAATTTTACTTCATTCGTAATTTTAAATCTTAATTTTAAAAATTTTAATTTTATAGCCTAAAATTTCATTAAAAATACAAAAATTATATTGTTAATAATACAGTTTGTTTGATATGTCTCGGTCAAATTATACAAGCTAATTTAAATATTATGTAAACAATCAACAAAACAAGTTAACAAATTGTTAATAAAGAGATAAGATAAAAGTGAAAAACTAAATTAAAAATAAAAATAAAAATTTTTTGAAGAAGCGAAACATTATTTAAGCTTTTTTTTTTATCAGTTACCCTCTTCATTTATTCATTTTCCTTCCTATTTGATTCTCTTTCACCGAACAAATTTTCCTCTGACAGTATCCATTGCAAGAGAAAATCCAATTTATGCTAAAACTTGTATTTAATTAAGTTTGATTTTTTGTTAAAAATGAATAAACGTGAATCTAACACCAAATTTTGATGTTATAAAAACTTTGTAAGTTACCTAACCCAATGCCCGTTTTGGACCATTAGTTAAGGAACCATCTGATACAAATATTTCAAACATTTAAATATGAAATGCTTCAATCAGATAGTTAACCATTCATAATCACAAAATAAGATCAGATTCACTGATTCAACCCTTCGATTAGGAATGAACCAAATGACATTTTCAATATTTCAAACCTTTTTTTCTCATCCTTATTGTTTTTTTTATCTTTTCTTCCTTATTTTCCTTATTTGTATTCAAAAGAAGATTTTGGTATTCAAATAGTCGAAATTTTTAGCTAAATAATAATGAAAACTTGAAACTTTAAAGTAAAGGGTAAGAAGGGGGGGGGTAATTTTTTATTTTTTATTTTTGTAAAACAAAAATACCAAAAGTAAAACATAACTTAGAATTAGAGGTGGAAGATGAAAAAGAACAAGAGAATGAGGAATGAGAAGAGATCTAGAGGCAATTAGCAATTCATGGCTAGTAACCATTTGTAAAACAAAAAATAGCAAAAGTAGAACATATAGCACACGTCAAAGGGCCAAACATGTAACCAGAAAGCTTCAAATCCTTGTGTCTCTTTCTCTCTTTACTTTCAATTTAAATCAAATTGTGTGGTTTGAATAAGCCAGCAAGGTGCTTGAAGAATTTTTTATATCTTATCCAACAAAAAATCATATCATTTTTTTTTCTTCTTTAACAAAGGTTTTGTATCCATTAAAATTCTCATTGTTATTCTATATGTGTTTGATGTTGACATTATTGCCTCTCTTCTCATTTTCTATGACTTCAAAACTCAACTAGAAAATTCATTAATAAAAAGAAAATTTTTATCAAAATTTGAAGGAAGAGGATAAATGGATCATAAAGGAATGAATTATAAGTAAGAGGAGGAAGGAAATAAAACATAAAAGAAAAAGTGATAGTTGAAAACTTTATTAGACTATATTATGTATTTGTTGAATATAAGAAGGAAGAAAATAGTAATTAATAACAAAATTAATATTTTTATAAAAAAACTTATTTTAAACACGTACATTTTTTATAAGTTAAAGAATCAAAATGAAAAAGTTAAAAAAATAAATTAAAATAAAATTAAAAGATAAAAAATTAATTTACTAATTTTGCTTTTAAAAAATGCTTATAGTCCTATAAAAAAAAAGCCTCTATTTATATTCTTGATTATTTGAAATATTGGTAAATTCAAAGAAAGGAATATATATTATGAAAATGTAACAGTAAATTTATTTAATAGAATGTGTTATTAGATAAATATTATTAAACATGTAAATTAATTAACATAAAATTATCACAACTTAACTTGTGATTTTAAGTTTAAGTCTTAACTTGTTGAAATGTGTTGTATTTTTTGGGCTGAAGTTAGATAACTAAAATAAAGAAAAATAAAAGTAAAATAAAACTGAAAATTAAGATACTAATAATAGCTTAAATTGTGTCGAAGGATTAATTTAAAAAATTATTTGTAACCTCTTTCATTTATAATAAAACGCTAAGGTTAATATTTATTCTCACATTCACGTCCTTTTACGGCAATTCACGTCCTTTCATGTATATATATATTGTCATCACTCATCATCGTGGTTTTTTAACTTCTCCTATATTTGGCAACACATTTTCTTAGCTATTTTTATCATCTGCATTTTATCATAATAAACAAAACTCCCCATAATTTCTCTTCTCTTCTACTTTATTCTTTCATCTCTTGTTTAATATTTTCCGCGTAAAAAAATAAGAAAAAACAACGTAACATGAGAAGATAGATTAGAGGGATTGTTAATGGCAAAAGTTGTGTAGATTGGAAGAAAATGGCAAGAGAGGCATTCATTTTGAAGGAAAGCGCTTTGTTATCTCTCAAAACATTAAAGAGCTTGTTGATGTTGATAAATACGGGTGTTATGTTGTTGTTGTTGCCCTTTAGAGGGCGGAGGAGGGTGTCGCCGGCGGAAAAACTTGGCGGCAGCGGCTGCAAGGATGAGAAGCAGCCGGAGTGCCACCGGAAAGGGGCGGTAGTGCGTGTCCCAACCAAGATGGTGCCATGGAAGAGTGCTGCAATAAAGGCAGTGGATCTAACCACCACCACGAGAAGAGAGTTGGCCATAAAAAGGGTTGTGGAGGATGTTGATCAAAGTTGTCTGAGGAAGTATTGGCTTTTGAGAACAAGAAGGGGTGACACCATTTTCACACAATCTTGGGCACCAGCTAATGTTAAGATCAGGTAGGTATATATAACGATGCATTCTTCAACGAATTTTTCATAATTACAATAATATATATATATATATATATATATATATATATATATATATATATAAGAGTAATGCTATTTGGTAGGAAAAGTGAAAAGTGTTCTGAATCATTAAGAAAAATTTTAACAGTGTTTTAAAGGTTAATTTTAAGCAATTAAAAGAGACAATTTTATTACATTAAGGATAAAAAATATAATAGATTTTTTTAATAAAAAGTTATTACTTTTAGATGGTTAAAATGCATGAACTCTAAGAAATGTTAACATAATTATTTAATTAATTAGGTATACGAGTCAAATGACAGAATCAGGATAGAGAAATTTTATGATTTTATGTGTGTTTTCACAAAATTTGTTTCATAAATTTAAACAATTTGCTTGGACAAGGAGTGATTGGTTGCTTTATTGTTCTTGTGCTCTTTGGATGTTCTATATTTATGCTTTTTCTTAGCTAATATTTTTGTCAAGATTTAATTATACATAGATAGATAGATATTTCATGTTGATTTAATTTGTATCTTGTGCCTTGTTTTTATTTCCTCAAAACAAAGAATTCAGTTATAGCATAACATGCATAGTTTCTACCCCAAATGGTATTTCGTTTTTTTAAGGAGCTTGAAAATTGACCTTTTCAGTGACACACAGCTTACCCATTTATTCCTTTAGTGTTTTTTTTTTCCCTTAATACTTTGCTTTTTTTGCTGGTAGAATTTACAGCTAATATACCTGAACTATTTTTGCAGGGGACTTGTTCTTCTTATGCATGGACTTAATGAACACTGGTTAGTAATATTTTACAATTCTAGATTTGAAGTCATTCATATTTTATATTATTTCTTGTTTTCCTGAAGCTATCTCCATTATACTCTAAAAGTGGCAGATATAATGATTTTGCAAAGCATTTGAATGCTAATGGCTACAAGGTTTATGGGATGGATTGGATTGGTATGTATGATCCCAATTATAATTTATATGCTTACACAAAATGTGGAGGAATGATAGTATCTTTTCCTTTTGATTCATGAACTTCGTAAATCCTTTGGTTTCCTTATTAGGCTAAGAGCTATTCTCATGTCCTTGTCCATGTCCTAGCATGAGAAATATATATTTTTTAATATACCTTATATTCTGCTTCATCTTGTTATTATTTTACAGTATTTGATATGGAGGAGGATTTGCTTACCATATTTCTGCAATTTCTACAAAATAATTTTGAGTTACCAATGTCAATTAAATAAGGATAAAGTTATAGTAGTGCCTGACCTGCAATTTTGTTGGGAATTCCTCATTCTGCAAATGGAAGTACCTATTGGGCTAATTCCAATTTGAAAAATCATGATTAGTATTAATTGATCATAAATCATGTATTTATTACCCATATATGCATTTTAGCTTTTAGATATTCCATATTATCCCAATGATTGTCATTTCTTCCTCATTATCCTGAATTTTCATACATAAAATCTTCTACTAAGAAACTTCAAGTATGAAAATTTTCATTTGACAAATTTTATATCATTCTTTGTTTATGTGATTATTCCATTGGATTATAGAAGACAGTGATAATATCTTCCTTTTGTCTAATAGTTTAGTTGTTTGTCATCGTTCTTCAACATGCATCTATATTTGGATGTTGCAGGGCTAAATTATTTGGATCCCTATTTGTGCGATAAAGTAACATGTGAAGCTCCTATATATAAGTAAGCTTATCATCTAGGTGTATAGTGTCTGACTTGTTTGTTTACGAATAAAGCAATTAATTCATTAAGTCTAAATCAAATAGATTCATTTTAGATTAACAATTGTACATTTATTATAGATAACCCAGAGAAGTTTTATACAGAGATAAGTGCTCTTTGCCCTTTATTTTCTTTTATTTTGGAATTTTGGGTGTTTCATTTGAGGTTGATGTGGTCATTTTCAAAAGCATGAGCAAGATGTTTTAATTAGGACAAAACTGCTTTTTGGTATTTTTCTCTAATCAAGATCGGAACTTCACCTTTATAAGGTGTATCAATCTTTAATGCTGACCTTTATTACGTGAATTACTAAGGTGAAACTCAAATTTTAGTTAGAGAACAACATAAAAAATATCTATAGTACACTACCTAAGTTTTGTCCTTTCTTATTCCTATTTGGACTATGCTTAGTTAATTTACCCACCCAGGGGCCTCCAAGAGCAAGAGTGGAACATGCCATTGATTATGCATCTCATATTACCATACCAACCGCTTCCTTTTTCTCCAAGAATTAGATTAAGATCTGACTTTAAATTATGATAAAGTACTAATTAAATTGTACTTGTTCATTCTTTTACTATTTAAGTTCCCTATTTAAAGCATATAGCAATTTGTTATGATGATGATAGTTTCATGAACATTGGATGTCTGTTCCTGTTAATTTTTTTTTTCTGAAAACTTAAATGCTTTATTTTCTAATCTCTAGTTGTGTTGTATTCATTTCTGTCTGCTCCATTTCTAGTATTTGCTTTAATCTGATTTTTTTTTAACTCTTCCGTAGGCCATGGTGGAAGTGATGGGCTGCATGCATATGTCCATTCTCTTGATGAAGCTGTTTCTGATATGGTATGTTCTAGAATCTACAAAAATTTAGTAGGATAGTGTGTATAAATAAAAGGGGCTGTGGCTTATGTCTTAAATCTGCATTTCATGTCAGCAGTTAAGAGAAAAAGAGATGTAGTGGGTGGGAACTAGGAAGTAGTATTTTTTTAGACTTCATTATTGTATGAATTATCTTTGTTCTGATATATACTATTTTATTTTGTATGAACAGAAAGTATTTCTTGAGAAGGTTCTAAATGAAAATCCTGGGCTTCCATGTTTCTGCTATGGACACTCAACAGGTGCAGCCATTATTCTTAAGGTATGGTCTAAATAAAATATGATTCTTGAAACTGTACAGGACCTAAAAATTGATTCAGCTTTGCACTACTAAATATACATTGTAGGCACTGCTTGATCCAAAGGTTGAAGCTAGCATAGTTGGTGCCACATTCACATCACCAGCTGTTGGAGTTGAGCCTTCTCATCCAATTTTGGTGGTGAGCACACCCTGCTGGTTTGCATCTAATTTATATAATTATAGTGCATACCTTCTAACATCTTCATCACACATCACAATGTATAAAACATTTCATAATTGCATAAACATCAAATAATATAATTCATCTCTATATAAGAAGGATTAACCAAACTTTATAAGGAGTATTCTCTTCATATTCTTAACCTACATGAGACATCTTAACACACTCTTCTCATGCGCAACACCAGACCTAATTTACTCCTAAAAGTTAATTCACACCCTTTCACACTCAAGATTGAACATTTGGAATGGAAAAATTTTAGGATTGATATTTTCTAATATTGCATTGGAAAAGCTGCAGAACTTGGTAGGTTGCCCTAGGAAAGCCGTGGAACCAGATAGGTTAACTTGGGAAAGCAGCAGGCCTAGGTAGGTTGTATTGGAAAATCCACAGGAATAGGTTAATTGCACTAGAAAAACCTGTGAATCAGTTTTTCATTCAGTCAAGACCGACCCATTATTGGATCTATGATAAGCTATATCATCTTAAATTTAAGCTAAAGCCTAACAACCCCAAAAGCTAACTCGTAAAGTGAGGATTACTGAAACCCTTACAAGTTCTATTGTAGCCATGTCTTAGTCAATACAAGACTTTAATACTTATAATAAATATTCTAGCTATATTTCTAATCGATGTGAAGTATCTGAACACGTTTAATTTATATGAATATTCCATACCTTGTGTCACTTTCGTTACACATCAGAATATATGCAACATTGCATAGTTGCTTATACATCAGTGAATGGAACTCATCTCTATATTTTCTTCATGACAGGTACTTGCTCCTATAATTTCATTTTTTCTGCCAAGATATCAATGTAATTCTGCATATAAGAAAGGGATGCCAGTTTCCAGAGATCCAGAGGCTCTAATTGCTAAATATTCAGACCCACTAGTGTGTACTGGATCTCTTAGAGTACGCACTGGCTATGAGATTCTCCGAATTACAAACTACTTGCAGCAAAATCTAAGAAAATTGAGAGTTCCATTTCTTATTCTTCATGGAACTGTTGATTCTGTTACTGATCCTAATGCTTCTCAAAAGTTGTATGAAGAAGCTTCCTCTACTGACAAAACTATCAAGTTGTATGAAGGGTTCTCACATGACCTCCTTTTTGAACCTGAAAGAGAAGCTATCACTCAGGACATAATTCAATGGCTGAATAATAGAATATGAAATAAGATAGAGCAATATGGGAAAAAATATCATAGAATTTCCAACCAAAGAAATTTTGATTGATTAGCACTCTAGTGATCAATTGGGTTGTGGAGACAAGAGAAACTTGAAGCCATATAAAATCTGAGGCATATTTTTGAATTGGAATCCTGAAAATCATTTAATCTGTTTCATTTATTTAAAACATTAGTTAGGTGGATAAGTTTTTATTGTTATCAATTATTTGTGCCTTGGGACATTCCTGAATTTTGATAGTAAAGACTAAAGTCCGGAAGAGACCACCACCTTTTCAAAGAATCGTGGGATGTTACTTAAACCACCACATACATTCATTGGTAGAGTTGACGTTTATAGGTTTGTAGAATATGGGAATTTGGGAACTTTGTTTTATACTGATATTAAATTAGACAGTGCAATCCTAAGTTCCAAATGAATCCAGGATCTCAGAATGAAGTCTAAGAATCTTGTGAAGATAATACAATTTTAGCTTCTTTCACCTTTCCTTCCTTACACAACGCATCAACCAATATACGAAAGGTACAAGCGTCCGGGTTGTTTTTCAATACCAATTCATTAAACAAACAAACAGCTTCTTTCAATTGACCCACGAATTTAATTTTTGGAAAAGTATATTTTACATATTTTGAAATTAAATTTTTGCACAGCAAGAAGAGGGGTGTAAAATCCAATTTCCGTTGACATATTGACAATAAATAAATGAAGCCTCGATCTGGTGGTTACCCTGCTCCCGCTCTCATCCATTTTCACTACGGCCGTCTTCAAAGAATCTCGCAAAGATGATAACGAGAACCACTCAGATTACATAAATCGTGATTAAGAAGTGTGCTATTCTGGTCAATGTTATTTGTGTACCTACACACTCATTTGGAAAATTAAAAAGGATGGGTTTGAGCTGAATTTTTATTTTATTATCCAGGAAATAAGATAGTGCTAGATGGTAAAAGTAAAAAATAATGTGTAGGTAACATTATGTATAGTAAAATAAAGTTAACAAAGAAACACATACAACTACAGAAAAGAATATTATCAACATCTCGCGACTTAACATTGTCTAGCTCAAGAATTGTGTATCCATTGGTCAAAAAATAGCTAAACTGTACATCATACTAAAAGGAAGTATTAATACCGTCCAACCGTCATAATTGTTACAACAGCCATACATAATTTTTGAATTTTGATGAGTTTTCGGTTTAACACTTAATGCTCCGACAAAGATAACAAAGGATAAACAAATGTGGGAATATCTAATTTTATTGTATCCTTTCATTCTTAGTGAAAATCAGGTCCACTGTCACTGATCAAACAGGTGAAAAATATTTGTACCTTAATTGTACCAGTAGAATAGTCAGTACCAATACCATCCAAACTTTGCCTATGGGTTGCATGGGACTGAGTAGAACTCAGTTTAGGACAAAATGGTACCTTGATTCGACATAGCTCTCAACATCCCAGAGAAAAGAACCAAAAGTAACAGCTTCTAAAACAAGTCTCTTCAAACCACCAAAACTAATTTTGATGTTTTCATCCATCGAAGAATCAATTACCCCCTTCGGTGTTACAACAATTTCAGGTCTTCCAAACAATGCTTCTGTGTGCTTCTCAATGATGCTGAGAGCCTCTTTGGATCTTATTGTCGCATATCTCTGTAATGTCTCACTATCAAAGGACATCACATAGGACCGCAACCGTGACACTTTTGTACCATAACCAGATCCCCCCGAGCTGATGCGACCATCAGGCAAAGAAGAAACTTCAGGATTGGACATTACTTGAGAAGGGACCTCTCCAGCACTGATTCTTGAATCATCTACAACAGTTTGCTGAATGCTATTCTCTTCTACTGCATTAGGAAGAATTTTCATAGTCTTCTCCAACTGGAACCTTTGGACAACCCGCTTAAGAAAGTACCCATACATTACAGAAGCTGCATAGACCTGTCCTACTCTGATTTTGCTGATATGAGCTACAGACGTTGAATCCCCTAAACGGTTACCCAAAATGAGAGCAAGATGACTTTGGATCATCTCATAGGCTTCAGGTGAGTGAAGCTCCTCCAGTTTTCCAACTTCACTTGGCCATGAATCAACCGGACCAGAAGGGTTTGGGATTATGGAGGGTATCAGAGAAACATTGGCATCCATAAACTTTTGCACCACTAATGCATACAATATCTCTTCTAGAGCTTTTCTCCTCTCTTTAGCCTTAACCTCAGCGATTCTCCTGGAAAATTTTGGAATCCATCTTCATGGTCAACATTTCATTTCTTTCCTTTCCTTTTTTAGATAAAAATTAAAACACACCTCACAACTAGTCAACTACAAAACACGTTCTGATAGTAAAAATATGAATACTGATTTTATTCTTCTAATATCAAGATTCTATGCTGGATCTATAGTAAACACAGTCAAATCCACAAATACACCAATGCAATATAGTACAGAAACTTCAGAGGTAAATTCAATTCTATAGAATCACTGTGCCATTCATGAGAAGAGACAGACAGCATTTCACCACCAAACAATTACTTAAAATCATCTGACCAGATTTGAAATATACACAAAGTACAAAATTTACACAGAAGACAATAGAATGTCTTTTCTAGACCGTGCCAGATTTTCAAAAATATTTTTTGCATTCATAGTTCATCAAAAACCCCTGCCCCCTCCACCAAAATAATTTTAATAAATAAAAATGAACCCATCAATCTAACAAAGTAATAATAATTTCAAACGTGAATTAACATAATTTTATATACATTCAGATATTATATTCAGTAATGTTTCCAAACTACAATCAAGTCTACAGAGATAGTTCTAAAAAATAATCACAATAAAATCCAGCGTTAAAATATTTTAAAAAATATATGTAGAAAACAAAATGCACAACCACTCCAAATGAGAGAAACAAACAACAATTCCTCCATTAAACTCCTAACCACAAATCTTTTACAATGACAAAGCTAAACATGCCCAGGTAAATTTCCTAGGGAGATACTGGCTTATCTATAACGTAACAAGTAGCATTGATCAACAAGGGGGCCCAATCCATTGCATGAGAAGAGAATTATAAATTTCTGTAATATATATGGAATACTATTGTTTAAATAAGCTATAAAATAACTCCCCAGATTTAGTAGAAATATATGTTAACAGAGTATTAGATATTATCAAGTATAAAGCAAACCTGTACAAAACTAAGTCAGTGCCTGAAGCAGAAGGCTCTTCCTTTTGTTTATCACCATCACAATCAGTTTGGAATTGCTCCAGCTGCTGCTCTACAGCAGCAGGCACAAGATGCGGGTGACTTATCAAAATCTGAGAGAGAAACTGCCCGATTGGAGACTCCAGCTTAAGTGGAGCAAAACTAGGACTTGGTTCAGATGACTCTGGAGACAATGATGAAGCCCTAACTACAAAACCCCTTCTACTTCCCACTGAGAATCTCCCATGGCCTTGCTTGGGGATAGATAAAGATGTGCGTAGCCGCTAACCCCCAAGAACAGTCAGAAAGCAAACAACAATACCAGTAAGAAATAATTTCAAACAGCAATTCATCAAACACGCTATTTTCATCAACCATAACAAACAGAAAATGCAATAATAGCTGCCACAAATCAGAATCGAAATCCAAAACAAATAAATAAACAATTGCTTTAATAATACCTTACTGGAGAACCGAAAATTGGAATGAAAGGCCAACGTGGAGGGTCTTCCGACGGAAACTGATGGCTTACACAGACCGGACGATGATGCGAGGAAGGGTGCCGCCGCCGCCGCCGCCGCCGCTGCTTCCATTTGCAGCTGTGCAAAACGATGAAAGTTTAATAAACCAAAAAAATAAAAAAGGAAGAAATTCATAACATATATTGAAACGCAAGAGAAAATGCTTAATTAAGTATACCTCTTAGATGGAATGGAAGATTGAAACGCAAGAGAAAGAAAATGGAACCCTAGAAAGAGAAAATGGAGATGATGATGTAGTTTCACGAATAGGCCAACAAGAGAAAAGAAACCCACATGTATTTTATTTTATTTTCTTATTATTATTATTATTGTTTTGTTAAGACAAAATATTTATTTTAGTTCTATAAGCGCAATTATTCTAATTCTTAATTTTATAAAATTTTATTCAATTTTTAATTTTTTAAAACGTTCATTTTGTTTCCCTTCTTATAATATTTTTTAGTCAATTTATATAAATAAAAATAAAAGTAAATATTATTTTATAAAGTAAATTATTAAAATAATTTTTTTATAAAGAGAGAGGCTAAGTGATTCAAATTTATTAAACTTAATTTTATGTCTATTATGTTAAATATTTATTATATTTGAGATAAAATATTTGATAAACATTTTTGTAATAAAAATTACTTAAAGCCGATTCTTAAATTACCAAAATCGTTATTATTATAACATTAGTCCTGTAACATGTAATAAAATAAAGACAGAATTGTTGAAAACAATATTTTACCATATACTGAAAGTAAGGTTCTAAGAGCTCCAAGATAGTTTTCTTTCTTTTCAAGAAAAGGGGAAAAGAGGCACCGCTAGGGTTCTCGCCCTAGTTAGTCTGCGTTCTTGTGTCCTACCAAGAGACAAAGTGTGAGACAGAGGATAGAAAGCGGAAGGTTCTGCTCTAGTCAAGAGGATCGAGAAGGGATAGAACGTCATGAAGCAGAAAAACGGTCTAAAGAAGAGTTAAATCTGATAGATTGAAGTACGAAAAAGGCTAAGATGAGGTTTGAGGCAGTCTCTAAAGAGCAAGAGGAACTCATGCACGAAGACCTGCGTTCACCGAACCCGATTCAATCTCAGGTGTTTTCTAACCCCTAATGTTTATGTACCTTTATCATATGAAGATAAAGTCCTGGAGTCGATGAATCTGGATTTAGTTCTAAATGATGAGGAAATCATCAAGTCAGTTCTAGAAGATTTTAATATACATTCTGAAAACGATGAATCTGATGTAATAGGAAGTGAGGACCAAAATCTTTGCCCTAGTATTAAAATTTCCCTTAAAGATTATGAGGGTTGATGCTCTCCTTGAAAGTTCACCCTTATTGTTAAGCTTTTAGGAAAATCAATGAGCTTTAACTATCTAAACTAGAGACTTAGTTCTATTTGGGGTAAACATGGTTCGTTAAAAGTCCTTGATTTAAACAATGATTTCTTTTTGGTTAAATTTGAGAGTATGGAAGATTACAAATATGCTCTCTTTGAGGGTCCTTGGTTAATCTTGGACCATTATCTTCTGGTTCAGAGGTGGAAGCCTTTATTCCGGACTAAGGACTATAATATAAAGAAAATAGCTATGTGGGTTCGTATTCCTGACTTACCCCTTGAATTGTATAACAATAAGTTTCTGTGGCAAGTTGGAGTTTGTCTGGGATCAATGTTGAAAGTGGATCCCTATACTTCCCTGTTATCTAGGGGTAAATTTGCTAGAATTTGTATTGAAATTGACCTTAGGAAACAATTAGTCCCTGCTTTCAAAGCTTTAAGTCAAGAATTCAAAGTAGAATATGAAGATTTACACTTAATATGTTTCAAATGTGGAAAATATGGCCATAGGCAAGAGCAGTGTGAAACCACCCTTCAAGATAGTCAATTCACGATGGATCAGGAGGCTTCCCTTAATAGGAATGTCACTAATAGGATGGGAAATGGTCTTGATGATTCTAGCATGACCAAGGATATGGTTGTAGATTCTCAGAAATCTGATATGGGACAGACAGTTGATCAATTTGGGCCTTAAATGTTAGCCAAGAAACAGTTTAGGAAAAAAACTAACTACCGTCCAACTTCAGGAAATTCCCTTAAAAATGGGAAATTTAGGGATCTAACTGTTAGATCTAGATTTAATATACTTGGGGATGCTATTCAGGAGGAAACTGAAGAATTAGAATCTGTTGATAATAAAATTTCAGAATCTAGTAAGATTAATTTTGTGAAAATCAGAGATTCTATTTCTAATAAACAGGTTAATAAAAGTCCTAACCCTAAACTTGGTGAGAACTTAAAGAAAAATTTCAAGGCCAAATCTTTATCAAAACATACTAAAGGGGAAAAAGAGAAAGTGAGCACTTTTCAAATTGAAAATCCTGATGATATCAAGACTGATCAAGTTATTCCTAATAACAAATTTGATTTGGATAGTGAGGATACTCTTAGGTTAATGTCCAGTCTGCATAAAAGCCTCCTAAATAATAATACAGTGGGTCATAACATCTTAGATCTTATAGGTATGAATCCTAAAACATTGGGTCACCATCCCACTGATAAGCTACCTGATATACCCTTAGTAATGTTGTCAAATAAGAATATCAGTGAAAACAAAATCATTGATGAAGATAACCATATTAGAGGTAAAACTTTGGAGTTGTTCCAGCATCCTAAGGATGTTTCTAAACTGTTATTTTAATTTTATGAATTGTTTCTTCTGGAATTGTAGGGGGGCAGGGGGTAGGATTTTTTCCAGACTCATAAATGATCTTGTAAAAATCTACAATCTAGATTTTATTTCCCTGTTTGAACCTAGGATAAGAGCTGACAAAGCTGATTTAGTTCTTCATAAAATTCACCTAGATAGTCATGTTGTTGGAACTCTAAGAAAGTTCAAGTAAGTATTATAGGGAAAAATAAATATTTTATTCATCTCAGAGTTAGTAATGGTCAGAGAGATTGAGTGCTCTCCTTTGTCTATGCTAACCCTCAAGAAGGACTAAGAGCTGAAGTTTGGAAGTCTTTGACTGATTTTAGTTTATCAATAAATGATCCCTGGGTGGTTATTGGGGATTTTAACTCTGTCTTGTTTGAAAATGAGAAATTTGGGGCTAGACCTATCAACCTAGCACTAATAAACCAGTTTGCTGACTGTCTTAATACCTGTGGTCTTCAAGATTTAGGTTTTAAGGGTAATCCCTTCACTTGGCAAAGAAGACAGATTAAAGAGAGAATTGATAGAGTTATTGCTAATGACTAATGGAGAGCCCTTTTCTATAATAGTTCAATTATCCATATACCTACATTAAAATATGATCATGCTGGTCTGTGGTTAAAAGTTAGAGGAGAAAATATCCCTAGAACCCTCCCTAAGAACTTTAAATTTCTAGCCCCTTGGCTGTGTCATGATGATTTTAGCACTCAAGTTCAGAACTCCTGGTTGGAGTCCAGCTCTTGGATTGATAATGTGATTAGATTTAAAAATAATATAACTGACTGGAATTTCAATGTTTTTGGCAATATCTTTAATCAGAAAAAAAGGCTTCTTGATTAGAGGAATATCTTGCAAATTAGAAAAAGAAGACAATACTTTCCTTTGTAATCTCATGAATTCTCTGTGGATGAATTATCAAAAAATTCAGGATTATGAAGAAACCTTTTGGTTTCACCATTACAAATCTCGCTGGATTAAACTAGGTGACAGAAATAATAGCTTTTTCTATAAGGCTGTAATTATCTGTAGGCAACAAAATAGAATTGAGGCTCTTAGAAATAAAGATAATAATTGGGAATATGATCCTCTGAAACTTCAACACCTAGTTGTGAGTTACTTTAAGGATATTTACACTGATCCTAATGTTGCTCATAGTATTTTGACCACTGTTTCTAAATTTCCCTCGCTTAGGAATTCTGATAGAACCATTATTGAGGCTAAGTTAACTTTAGATGAAGTAAAATATGCCTTGTTTAGCGTAGGAGATTTCAAATCTCCTGGCCCTGATGGGCTCCATGCTTTGTTTTACAAAAATCAATGAAATTTCTTAGCTCCTTTTATTTTCAGATTTGTTTCTGATATGTTCTTAAATCCTCAAGATATTGTTGCTGTTAATGATACTGTTATTACTTTGATTCCTAAAAATAGTAGCCCTGAACGTTTGAATCATTTTAGGCCTATTGCTTTATGTAATGTTAGTTATAAAATTATAACTAAAATTTTGGCTAATAGAATCAGGGGATCCCTGCCTTTCCTTATCTCTGCTAATCAAACTAGTTTTATTCCTGGAATGCAGGATATTGACAACACCCAAATTTTGCAGGAACTTGTTCACTCTTTTGAAAAAATGAAAAATAGGAATAATTTTATGATTATTAAGATTGATTTTGAAAAGGCCTATGATAAAATTAAATGGAGTTTCATTGCTGATATTCTGCAAGAAATTGGTTTTAATAATAAGACTGTAGATCTTATTAATAAGTGTATTTCCACTTCTTCCATGTCTATTAATTGGAATAATGGCAGAACTTCTAGTTTTAAGCCTAGTAGGGGAATTAGGCAGGGTGATCCTATTTCTCCTTATATCTTTGTGATGTGTATTGAGAAACTTGCCCATTTAATTCAGGATAGGGTGAATGATTGTGTCTGGACTCCTTTTCCTTTTAGTTCTGCTGGCCCAAAAATATCTCATCTTTTTTTTGCTGATGATATTATTTTAGTTGCTAAAGTTGATAATCATCATGCTGAGATTATTAATTCTGTGTTGATTTTTTTTTTCTTCAGCCTCTGATTTGTCTATTAATAAAGATAAGTCTTTTATTTATTTTTCAAAAAATTGTCCTTCTCCTTTAATGCAGGATATTAGTCTTACCTTAGGTTTCAGAAAGTCCATTCATTTTGGTAAATATCTAGGTATTCCCATTAGTCATCTCAACCCTCTAGACATGAGTTTGCTTTTCTTATTGACAAAATTAGGAAGAAACTCTCTAATTGGAAAATGAAGTCTCTCTCTTTTGCTGGCAGAGTGACTCTGGCTCAATCTTGCATAATGAACATCCCTAATTATTTTATGCAATCCATGATTATTCCAAAAGTTATTTGTAAAGAAATTAATTCTATCTGTAAAAAAATTTATTTGGGGGTCTCTTAATGGTAAAAAAATGTCATTTGATTAGTTGGGAGACTATTTCTAAGCCCAAAAATGAAGGAGGCTTAGGTTTTAGAAATATTAACCTTGTGAATCAGGGCTTTATTATGAAACTTTGTTGGAGGTTTATTAATACTCCTGGTGAGTTGTAGACTAGAGTCCTTAGTAGTAA